ACAGCTGCTGGGGTCTCAGGGGATCTGTAACACTCCGCGGCCTCCTCAGGTAGCCGCAGTCCAAGATTAGCCCAGGCCCCTCCAATAGTCAGGTGGTCGCCATGTCGGGGAGCTCATCACGGATACAGGGCCGCACCACTGGCAATGTAAGCGGCTGCTTCTTGGGTACCCACCACCTGCCAGGGCATCAGTTAGGCTATGCAATCTGGCACGACCCTCACAAAGCCCTTTTAATACATCACATCTGCCTCATTTTACCGAAGAGGCATTGGGGCTCAGAGAGGTGGAGTGACTTGCCCAAAGTCACACAGCCAGAGGTTCCTGGTGGCCAACTTCAACCAAGGAAGGACAGAGGAAGGGATCATCTGGGACCCTTCAGAGGGAGAGTATGGACCTACTATGGAGAGGAGGTGGAAAGAAGGGAGGGCCTGCCTCCTGAGCTCTGACTGTCTTCGGGCATAACTTACTCATCAATCATTTATGATCTGCTTATGCATTCATGGACCCTCTCCACATGCCAGTGTCTTGCTAGGCACTGAGGACTCAGGCAAACCAGGCCCATTTGTGCTCTCACAGAGCTCTTGGCCTAGCAGAACAGAAAGGGAAGCTGAAGCAGGAATAGGCCACCACTTGCCGGGGTGTACTAGTATTTGCTAAGGGCACACTGTGGGCCAGACCCAGGGCTGGGAGCTGAGGGCAGCACATAATGAGAAGCACAAGGCTCCTGCCCTCCTGGAGCCTAGATTCTAGTGGTTTCCAGCCCCAGACCTCCAGGAACCCTGCCTGCTTCCCCCTTCAGCCCTGAACACAATGGGAAATTTCTCCAGGGGTTCTTCAGGGTCCTACTTAGGCCTGGTTCTGGGCTGCTAAGCAGGGATCCAGAAAGGGCAGGGAAACCCAACTCGTGCCTTCCCTATGAACTAAATCAAGGCCCTGGGCAGGCCAGAGCTGTTCAGAGGGGTCTGGACAACTGGAAAGCCAACAGGGACCACCCATTCAGGGTGTAGCCACCAACTCCAGGGGGTGGGGGCACAACAACTCTCACCGAGTGGAGGCCACTTGCCCAAGGAGACCCAGGCCTCACCACACCTTTGTCCCTCTGCTCCCTACCAACAGTCCCAGCTCAGAGGTAGCATTTTGGCGATTGGGTCCAGTGCCTCTGACATTAGGTCCATTTCACAGCCTGGGAAAGGGAGAAATGGGGCAGTGGAAGGATGGCCCAAGATCACCCCAGCTCATGCACAGGCAAAATGGGAACCAGGAATGGTCGGTCCTCTCCACCAGCTCACACACCAGGCTCACACGCATAAGGAGAGGTAGGTTTACAGCCCACAGAGGGAAGCTCCTTTCCTAAGCAACCTCCAGCTTGGTTTTGTTTTTGCGTTTGTGTTTCCAAATGCTAGACTTTTGCTGTCACCTGAGCTGTGAAACTGACCCTCTCAGTGTGAATGGCAGAGAGGGTACCTCGGAACTGCTCCATCTCAGCAGCCAAAAAGTTGGATTTATATTTTAAGTAGAATTTTAAATGGTTGGGGTGTTTTCTGAGACAGAGAGTGAAAGCATGAGAGAGTGTGCACATGTGGGGTGGTGGGATGGGGGGAAGGGGGAGCAGAGGGAGAGAGAAAATCTTAAGCAGGTTCCACACCTAGCGTGGAGCCCAGTGCGGACCCTGAGATCACAGCCTGAGCAGAAACCAAGAGTCAGACATTCAACCAACCGAGCCACCCAGTCGCCACTAAGTGGAATTTTAAAAACTGCCAAATCCCCTTGGTAAAAAAAAAAAAAAAAAAAAAAAAAAAAAAGTCAAACTAGTTAGGAGAATGAAAGAAAAATAGGAGAATAGCTAAATAAATTATTAAGACAATATTATAAAGCCATTAAGTAACTTTAAAGGAAATGTTAACACTGTGAGAAAATATTCACCATATAATGTCGGGGGAGCGGGGAGCCGGCTCTAGAGAATATTACAATTAAAATATACACTTATATGCATATGCATGACCCACATAGAAGAACATTACTGGAGAGAAATACAACAGAATAGCAATGACAGTTATCTCTGGGCAGTGAGATGACAGATGACTTTCATTTTCTCCTTTGCACCTTTTTGTAGTTTCCAAATTTTACCGTGAGTATGAATTGCTTTTATCATTAGACATAAAAGAGAAAGGCAGGGGAGGGGTTGCCCTTGCCCAGGCTCATTCTCTCCACCTCCGCCCACCCTCCACACAGAGCTGGGTAGCCTCTGGGCTCTGTCCTCACTGACCAGTCCAGCACTGACCAGAGCTGAGGGACCCTGGCCAGGCCACCGGAACTGAGGACAGCCGGCACAGAGGTCGTGGGATTCACTGGCCATCTCTGCCTGTGGAGGAACCAGCAAGGGGACACTGCCCTGCCCGGGGCCCTTCAGAAGGGTCCATGGCAGGCTGTAAATTTCCTGGCCAGGGACACTGGGATTTGATGCTCTCAGGGGCTGAGAATCAGAACATTCATTATCTGCTGCATGAGAGAAGTCATCTTCTTTGTTCTTTGCATTTCTTTCAGAGCTGCTGAGTGCAGCAGGAAGGCTGGAGGAGCGCTGACCTGTGTCACCCTCCCACCGTGACCTTAGGTGGGCTCTCGGCTTCCCCACGTGGGACTGGAGCACCGACCCAACGGGTCTCCCTGGGCTTCTGACCTCCAGGCTTGGGGTTTCTTCTAACCTGTGGGGTGAAGCCCAGGGGTGCTGGCCTGCATTCACCCTCCCAGGCGACTGTGCTCTAGGAACTACCTCCTCTGGTGCCCTCTCCCGCCTCACCCCATTCTCACCCAAAGGAGCTGGACTAAAGCAGAGTTTCCAGAGAGGGGCCTCCCTGCTCACTGGGGCTGTGGATTTGGGCAGGTTCCAAGAATGGTGCCCTCACTTCCTTCCAGCTGAGATCCTAACCTCCCCCTCCCTGTTCTGGAAGCTTCCGCCCTTCTCCTGGGCTATTTTAGCAATCAGGTCACCCGTTGGCTCACTCTGAGCCTGCGGTCAATTAAAACCCACAGGCCCTTTTCACAGAAATGGTGGTATCTCTTCCTCTTCCAGATGCTGCTCAAGTCAGGGTCCTCAGGGTGAAAACAGTGTGAGGTGATGGCTTGGTGATCCTCCCGGAGCAGGGGGCCCTGGCTCAGGAGCTGAAGACATGCATTGTTTCCATCCCCACTGTGGCCAGGGTCTTGCAAAGGTGACTGACAGCACGAAGGGGGAGCTGGTCACAAGGACCTTCGGATGACCCGAATACCTACATGGCCTGTGCTGTACCCCGCTGATGCTAGACAGAGAGCCCTCCCTCTGGTCCTCATAGGCTCTGGGCAGGGAGCCAGTCCCCACTTAGAGGGGAACTGTGTGACCTCTGAAGGTCATCGTGTGGTTAGCAGCCAGGCTGTGAGGGACTCTGGGGTGCCCCAGCAAAGCCCAAATCCACTTCGGCTGCTCTGGCACTTCCCAAGGGCCTGGCACATGGCCACTGACCCAGGCTGCCAAATGAGTTCTTTTTTATTTTTTAAGATTTTTTTTTTTTAATTCATTTGAGAGAGTAAGAGAGAGCATGAGCAGAGGGAGAGGGAGAAGTAGGCTCCCCGCTGAGCCAGGAACCCCATGTGGGGCCCCATCCCAGAACCCAGAGATCATGACCTGAGCCAAAGGCAGCCGCTCAACCATCTGAGCCACCCAGGTGCCCTGTGCCAACTGAGTTCTTGTGATGAAGCCTGGGGAGGCTCCATGCCCCTGGTCCTACTGACACAGCAGGTTCCCAAAACCCCACACAAGACCCAAAGCCCAAAACCCTTCTATTACAGCCCACGTGTGCTCTGCTCAGAGCCACTGAGGATGCTGAACGCCTGCTCCAGCTACATGCTCCAGCTCACCCCTTCCCATGGCTCCAGGCTGAGGAACATGGGGGGGCCAGTTCCTATCCATCCCTCCCCCGAGGCATGTGACCCACCACAGGCTCTTCCTGGCCAGCCCAGAGTCAGTGCCAGACCAAGAGCCCTGGGGGACCTGGGGAAGAAAGACAGCAAACATGAGGAAGACTGCAGTTGTAGGGGGCCATGGAGAGCAGCAGGATACATGGGCCCTGCCTGCCTGAGGCTGGGAAGGGCTGGAGGCCGGTGAGGGGCTGCAGCAGGAATAACACGCAAGCCACGCATGGAATTGACAATTTTCAAGTAGTCACAGTAAAAAAGTGAAAAGATAGAAGTGAGGGGCGCCTGGGTGGCTCAGAGGGTTAAGGCTCTGTCTTCATCTCAGGTCATGGTCTCAGTGTCCTGGGATCGAGCCCACATGGGGCTCTCTGTTCAGCAGGGAGCCTGCTTCATCCTCTCTCTGCCTGCCCCTTTGCCTACTTGCATCTCTCGCTCTGTGTCAAATAAATAAATAAGCTCTTTTTTTAAAAGTGAAATTAATGTTAATAATGTATTTTAGTTACTCCAAATTATAAAAAATATTATCATTTCTACATATAATCCATATAAAATTATTTGGACTACTGCTTTGAGAGCCAGTGTGTATTTTATTTCATTTTTTAAAAAGATTTTATTTACTTATTTGAGAGAGAGAGAGCACAAGCAGGAGGAGGGGCAGGGAGAGGGAGGGGCTCAGAGTGCAGAGCAGGATGTGACATAGAGCTTGACAGTGGGGCTCGATCCCAGGATCCTGAGATCATGACCTGAGCTGAAGTCAAGTGCTCAACTGACTGAGCCACCCAGGCGCCCTGCCAGTGCATATTTTATATGGACAAGCAACATCTCAATTTGGACTGGCCACATTTCAAGAGCTCAGCAGCCCCATGTGGCCAGTGGCCACTGGCAGGGACAGCACAGCTGGGCTACAGGGTGCTGGGTAGAGGGGAAGTGGGAGATGAAGTCAGAGAGGTGGACAGGGATCACACTGGGTTTAATTCTGAGAGCTCTGAGAAGACACGGGAGGGCTTGAAGCAGGGGTGCCATGTGATCCGTTGCTGCCTTTAGAGGCTGACTCTGGCGACGTAGAAGGTTCCAGTGTGGATGAGACTGGTGCCCAGAAAGATGCGCAGGTCAGGGCCACAGGTGGCCTGTGCCTTGGTGCGGGCAGCCACAGGGAGCTTCAGGGAGCGCAGAAGAGGCCACGGAGAGGCCGCGAGACAGGGAGACAGTCCTTGCCATCTGCTTTTTTTTCTCTTTGCCAAAATTCTTGCCCAGGAACCTTGTCTCGACAGTTGCCTCCTTCCAGGAAGAGATGCACATGGTTGCTGCTTAAGATAAGCCTGAAGAAGCTCAACCAGAAACCTTCTGCCGGCCGCCCAGACTCCCAATGGCTGCCGCTTTCCACATCTCGCAGAATCGCTCAAGAAAAGATAAAGCTCCTAGATGCTCAGTATCATACAGTAATTAGGCGGTCTCTGGGGCTGGCCAGCTTGGGTTCGAATCCCTGCTGCCCTCCAATTAGCTGTGTGACCTTGGTTTAGATACTTGACCCCTCTGGGCTTCTGTTTCCTCATCACACACTGGCTGTGTAAATATCTCCATCCCCAGGGGTGACCGGGAGGGGATAATGGGTCTACACCCTACAACAGAGCTTCGAGCAGTGCCCCACACGTAGGAAGCACTCATTACATGTCATCCTGTTATTATTCTTGTCGTGAACAGATGAGACAAGTAAGGCACAGGGACAGGAGGGGACCTGTTCAACATCACATCTAACCTAAGGCAGGGCAGGAAGCAGAATCTAAATGTTCTACTCTCTGGTTCTTCAGGCTGACCCACAATTGAAATCGCTGGTGATCCCTTCCTTCAGACGCTTGCCATGTCCTCTCCACATGGCAGATGCCATGCTAACAGCTTGGGGGGCGGGGGGGTGGGGGGACACTGAGATGGTACAAGCCTCATCTCTACAAAATTGAGTCTTTCCCATTCGGAAAAAGCTCTTTCTCAACCACTCTGGCCCACAGGGGAAGAAAACGTTATTCAATACAGGCAGAGCCACAGGTCAACTACAGCAGAGTCAAAACAGTGTTGGCCTGAGAACTGGGGGAGCCCCTCCCTGCCCTGCCTGCCTTGCTCTGTGATGTGAGCAGAGGGCTTTACTTCTCTGATCTCAGCACCCCTGGCTGTGCACAGAAGAGAACAAATGTTAACTGAGCACCTACTCTGTAAAACCAACTTTAAGGTGAGGAAAAGGAAACAACTGTCAGTCAGACTGGGATGTGGCCTCCAAGGACATGGGCCCTACAGCCCAGGTTTTCTGGAATATTCTAGACTGACCCATTCATCTCATAAGAGCTATATGCACACTGGATCATACATCCTAACTTGTAAACTATAATTGGACATTATAACAAATTATGAAAGTCTGGTTCACAAGATTTCACAGACCAGTAACATTTCTAAAGAAACACTGGGAACCTGCAAAGGATTGAACATTTGTTATTCTGCCAAGGAAGGCCCTGAAACCGAATAACAAATGGTGCTGGGAAAACCAGATATTCACATACAAAAGAATGAAACTGGGCCCTTATGTTACTACACACAAAAATCAACTCAACATGGGGGACCTGAGTGGTTCAGTCTGCGTAGTGTCCGACCCTTAATTTCAGCTCAGGTCATGATCTCAGGGTTCTGCGGCTGAGCCCTGCATCAGGCTCCCCACTGAGCATGGAGCCTACTTAAGATCCTCTCTCCCCCTCTCCTTCTGCCCCTCCCTCTGCCTGCTTTCTCTCTAAAATAAAAATAAAGATAAATCCAACTCAACATGGATTCAAGACTTAAATGTAGCCCCTGAAACTATAAACTCCTAGAAGAACACATAAGAGAAAAGCTTCATAACACTGGTGTTGGCAATGATTTCTGGATATGACACCAAAAGTACAGACAACAAAAGCAAAAATAGACAAGTGGGACTGAATTGAACTAAAAAGTTTCTGCCAGACAAAAGAAACAGTCAACTGGGGGCACCTGGCTGGTTTAGTTGGTAGAGTATATGACTCTTGATCTCAGGGTCATGAGTTCAAACCCCATGCTGGATATAAAGCTTACTTTAAAAAAAAATTTTTTAAGGGGCACCTGGGTGGCTCAGTGGGTTAAGCCTCTGCCTTATGCTTAGGTCATGATCTCAGGGTCCTGGGATCAAGCCCCATATCTGGCTCTCTGCTCAGCAGGAAGACTGCTTCCTCCTCTCTCTCTCTCTCTGCCTACTTGTGATCTCTCTCTGTCAAATAAATAAAATCTTTAATAAATAAAAAATTAAAAAATTTTTAAAAAAAGAAAGAATCAACAAAATTAAAGATGACTTACAGAATGAGAGAAAATATTTGCAAACCATCAATATCTAAAATACAAAAGGAACTCCTAACAACTCAATAGCAAAACAAACAATCAAAAAACCTGATTAAAAAATGGGCAAGTGCAGGGGCTCCTAGGTGCCTCAGTTGGTTTAAGTGTCTGCCTTTGGCTCAGGTCATGATCCCAGGGTCCTGCGATCGAGCCCTGCTTCAGGCTCCCTGCTCAGTGAAGAGCCTGTTTCTCTCTCTCCCTCTGTCACTCCCCGTGCTTGTGCTCTCTTGCTCTCTATCAAATAAATCTTTTATTAAAAAAATGGGCAAAGGGGTGCCTGAGCGACTCGGTCAGTTAAGGGTCTGACTTTTGACTTCAGTTCAGGTCATGATCTCAGGGTCATGAAATCAAGTCCCATATCAGGTTTCAGGCTCAGCACAGACTCTGTTTGTCCCTCTCCCTCTGCTCCTCCCTCTACTTGTGCATGCATGCTCTCTCTCCCAAATAAGTAAATAAAATCTTTTTTAAAAATGGGCAAAGAATGGGGCTCCTGGGTGGCTCAGTGGGTTGAGCTTCTGCCTTCAGCTCAGGTCATGATCTCAGGGTCCTGGGATCGAGCCCCACATCGGGCTCTCTGCTCAGCAGGGAGCCTGCTTCCCCCTCTCTCTCTGCCTGCCTCTCTGCCTACTTGTGATCTCTCTCTCTCTGTCAAATAAATAAGTAAATAATCTTAAAAAATAATAATAAATAGGCAAAGGATCTGGATAGACATTTCTCCAAAGAAGACATAAAAAATGGCACATGAAAAGATGTTCAACGTCTCTAATCATCAGGACAATGGCTATCAAACCACAGTGAGGTATCACCTCACACGTGTTAGATGGCTATAATCAAGAAGACAATGGGTGCCTGGGTGGCTCAGTGGGTTAAGCCGCTGCCTTCCGCTTGGGTCATGGTCTCAGAGTCCTGGGATCGAGCCCCGCATCGGGTTCTCTGCTCGGCAGGGAGCCTGCTTCCTCCTCTCTCTCTGCCTGCCTCTCTGCCTGCTTGTGATCTCTGTCAAATAAATAAATAAAATCTTAAAAAAAGAAAAAAAGAAGACAAGAGACAAACACTGGAGGACGTGAAGAAAAAAAAAACCCTTGTGCACTATTGGTGGTGCAACTGCTAGCGAAAACAGTATGGGGGGGGTCTTCAAAAAAAATTAAAAATAGGGGCGCCTGGGTGGCTCAGTGCATTAAATATCTGACTCTTGATTCCAGCTCAGGTCATGATCTCAGGGTTGGGAGACTGAGCCCCACATCAGCTCTACACTGATTCTCTCTCTCTTCTTCTGCACTCCCCACCAAGCCATCTCCCTCTCTGGGAAAAAAAAAAAAAAAAAAAAGAAAGAAAGAAAGAAAAGAAAAAAACTAAAACTAGAACTACCATATGATCCGGCTATTCCACTTTTGGTATGTATTCAAAAGAACTGTAATCAGGAGCTCAAAGAGGTATCTTTCCTCCCGTGTTCACTGCAGCATTATTCACAACAGCCAAGAGACGGAAACAGCCTACATGTCCATCAGCGCATGAACAGATAATGAAAATGGGGTCCACCCATACAAGGGAACATAATTCGGCCATCAAAAAAGAAGGAAATCCTAACACATGCTACAACACAGATGAATCTCGAGGACATAACGCTGAGTGAATTTAGCCAGTCACAGAAGGACACATCCCACTTACAGGAGATTCTTAGGGACGGGGGACAAGAGGAATGGGAGCTGTTGGTCAATGGGTAAGAGTTTCAGTTACACGAGATAAGTAAGTATTAGAGATCTGCTGTACAGCGTCGTGCATGTAGTTAGCAATACTGTACCACACACTTAAAAATGTGTTAAGAGGAAAGGGCTCATGTTACATGCTTTTTACCACAGTAAAAAAACAAAGAAACAACAAAGTATCTCCCAGAAAGGACACTAAAACCCCAAAGAACAGGAAGGTCATCGTCTCAGAATAAATAGTCCTTCAAATTAAATAGCTTTTAAATAACCAGGATGTATGTGTGTGTGTCTTGATCTCTTCTCTCTTTCTCCTCAAACTGACCTGTCAACAATTTCTCATCACACTAGGCCTTCTAGTTGGAAAACCCGGAGAGGACGCCAGGGACTCTGACCACTACCTTTCCCTCCCCCTTTTCTCCCAGGTCCACAGCACTCTGCACACACAGGTGCGGAAAGCTGCTTCTGCTCATGCAGGCCTGGCTCTGCTGTGTCTGCTCACTGGGCTGTGAGCTCCGGAGGGCAGGGTGCATCCTGCTCTCTGTACCCCTCATCTACCCAGAACCAGCACCGGGGAGGAGCCCATAAATCCTGTTGGTGGGAAATGGATTCTGACTGACATTGAGAGGTGAAGCTGGCGTCAGGCCTGGGAGACCACGAAAGGACCAGAGAAGGGGAAGAGTGGAAGGCAGCAGGGATAAGGGGCTGAAAGGGAGTGTCCACAAAAGAAGTTGGTCGCCCCAACACCCCTCTGTAGCAAAGAGTCCACCTCACAGCCTAGGAGGAAGGTGGGGAAAGGAAGTGGGGAAGGGAAGTGGGGCGGGGGTGGGAAGGAGCCCTGGAGAGAGATCCTCCTGACTGGACCCAGGGCTAGGACAAAGGGCAGGAAGAGGCTGAGGTGGGCCCTCAGAACCACAGACAAACTGTGGGAGGTGGGAGGCCCGCAGCCCCTCCTGGGACGGTCCAGCTGCCCCTCCTGCTCCCCTCAACACTGGCCCGAGATGCCTCAGCTCCACCAGCCTACCACAGGGGAAGCAAAGGGCGGAAGTGGCCTGGGCTTCAGACAAGGGCTCAACGGCAATGTGCCCCCACACCGGGGGAGCCCCGGCCACAAAAGGTCCCAAGGGCCCAGAGGCCCAGATGGTGCTCCAGGGGACATGGGAAGGCCAGGGAGACTCAGACAGCTACTTCAAAAACACACTGTGATCTTTCCGCTCACTCTTTCTCTCAGTCACCCACCCCTGCTTAAAACCCCTCAGGGTCACCTTGTGCTTGTAAGATAAAGACAGAGCCGTGCTG